CTTTAAAATTGTTTTAAATAAAAAACAAATATTACATATTGACTTAGTACTGTTTGTTTGAATCTTCCCATTAATATACATTTTCCTAGTTCTATGTATTTACCATGTTGTTAACAATGGGATAAAGGTTGTATACGTTGATCTAAGTTTATCCAACATAGAACAAATATAAATGATCTAACAATAATGTCAGAAGGGTGTTTTTTGAAGATTTCAGTATTTTCATAATTGAAATCATGAGTCAATTAAAGCTAGACCACCATCGAAAACCTGTAATCACTGGACGACTGTTTCGTCCTTTTATGTGACTCCTCAGTAGCAGTGCACATCCACGATCTCACCTCACAAGATTCCAACTCAGAACCTACCAGTCTTGCTCTACAGCCATCCAGTGCTTCCAGGTTTTCCATAGTCGTCTAGCTTCGATTGACTCATGATTTCAACTAACATTAATAATTATTTCTGATAATAGTAAATTGATAAAAATGTTTTCTATCTCTATTGTAATAATAATAATGATAGTAATGACAACAACATTAACTTCATATTGTTCTCTTTTTCTTTTGTCTCTTCAATTCTTTTTTATGTTTGATTATCTAAAAAATTAATATTACTGATAATACTACTACTAATAATAATAATAACTTGATTAATCATTAATTTTGCTTCGCTTTTTTTTAAAAATTTAACTGCTTGTGTTTACTGTTTTCATGTTGATCAACTCTTGTGCCATTACACAAATTGCTCAATGAATTTACGTTTTGTTTGTTTGTTTGTTGTTGTTTTAACCGTAAAATGTTTTTGCGTGGGCGTGTTTGTATATCAATATGTTTATTTGTTTACGGTTGGGTATTTTTTTCTCCTTTCTTTCTTGATCATTGAATTGTTTGTTTTCCTTGTGTGTTTGTGTGTATGTGTATTCACATGTGTTTGTGTTCGTGTGTGTGGTTGACTAAAATAAATTCTATTATGTTTAATAATTTGATTGCATTAATTACCGGCACTTTCATTTGAATAACCAATTTAATTATATGGAATATGATTATCATATACTCTGGTGTACTTTTTTGGGGTGTATACATGTATGTGTGTGTGTGTTTTTTTTGTTGAAAATAATTCAACCGGTGCTTATATAAAATTGCATAATGATTAACAATATAAAGATTCTGGGACTCATGTAATTGTTGGGCTAAAAAATAAAATAAAAAATACAAAAAATTGTATCTCATATCACCACATTGTTGCCATGTGGATCATATCCTAATTAAATGATCACAGCTGATTAATCATTGATCATTATTACCTAATACTAGTTTTTAATTATTATTATGACCTTTGTTGTTTGTTGCTTTTCTTCATATATCTGTCAATTGGACTATTTATCTGATCCATAAATTATTTTCTTCCTTAACCCCCTTGATTAGTAGGTAACCTCATTTGTTATTTATTATCGAATCTATTTATAATACAATGTTTGCTAGCCTCCTATAGACATATATTTTCCATATAATCATTAATTTTTTCTTTTTGTTTTGATTATCTTTCTGTTATTGGAATAGTTACTTCATCTGATTAAAACCATTGGTTTCTTTAATTACAATTTATCATCTATCATAACATTTAATCAAATAGTATATATGAGATTCTATTGTGAGATGTTTCAATTGGTTATTGCCTTAATTAAAAAAAGAAAACGAGTAGTATATATCGTGATTGTTCCCTCTCTCTCTCTCTCTCTCCATCTTTGTTCCTCAAGTATTTTGAAGTTTCAATTATTTGTATTCTACTGTTGACCTGTTCATACTGTTATCAAACCAGAAGAAGAGAAATCTCTAGTTCATTAATTTGGTATAGATCTATATAGGTAGATAGATAGATAGATCATAGAAATTTCCCTCTCCTTTTTTCCTTCTTGTTATCCATATGATTGTATATTTTGGTCATCTCAAACAATTAACTTATAGTGACTAATATCTTTAATCATTGTAATCATTATTTCTTATTCTGTAATTAGTTGGTATATTTATTTATTTTTTATTATTTCTTATTCTATCTAAATAGTTAAGTTAGTTAGTTACTAAGTCAATTGAATTGAATTGTTTTGCATCATTTCAATTTTGTACATTTGTGTATTGTTCCATTTTCATCTTCAACTATAAAGTTCCTTTAAATAGGTAGAATTTGTAAAATTTCAGCAAATGAATTTGAAGTAAAAATTCAATGTTTCATCTGGACAATCTAGTTTAAGCTTTTCAAAAGAATTTAATGGTGCTTAAATAGTATAAAGTGCCTTGTTTTTCTTTCTTTTTTTTTAATGAGGCAAATAGGATTTGCATTAGTACTCATTAGTAGTTGATTATGGTTTCCTTTTTTTTTATATTCTACCTTCAATTCTAGCATATGTGTGTACTTCAATATTGTGTACAGTTTTTGTTTCATTTTTCCTTCATGGTTTATAATCTTACTTTGTATTTATCTATTTTCATTTTTTTTTAAATAAAAGAAATAGATGGTATCACTTATGCATATGGAATAGTCATTTTCTTCGTGAGTGTGTGTGTGTGTGTAAGTTGAATACATTGTAAATTGATTGAAGTTAGAAATGAAAACTGTTAAGATATCTGAATACCTGAAGTTCAACTGTATTTATGCTTGACTGTTATATATCATTGTTAAACAACCGATGATTAGAGATCTTGAATGATATGGCTCAAAATCGTTCTGCCAAATTCTGATCTTCTGAATTCTTTATGTCTCTATCTTTTAGTTCTTTTTCCAAATTTATTTCACTGGATTATACTTCTTGAAAAACATCTTCAAACCTTAATCTTTCCGATTACTGCTTATACTCTTACTACTTTTTGAATCGACAACTGCATCTCTGTGCTAATGTAGTATGGCAACTCGAACTGATGTAAGTACGTACGAAGTTCTACGTTGTGGCTGCATGACTGACTTACCATTGATGTTAAACTTATAGTCTGAAGTTACATATAGTTTAACTTACTTATTTATTAGTACTATGGCTGATTTAATGCACAGTCCGAATATTTAAGATTATACAGATTAATCATCAATATTTATACTGATGTAAAATAATTTGAAATCGCCATTGTTTATCCAAATGGTTCACATAATATTAAAGATATCAGTATGCCTAAGTATAAAAATCTGAATAAGAAAAGTATATTTGAAGAGATAGAGTACATAAACTCAAAAACACTGGAATTCCCTCATTTACCTAATATAAAATCTAATTTGAAATGCCAGATAGGCAAGAAATACATTCTTATTGCACTTATCAAAATATGATTCTCCCTGACTCAGTATTTCTTGCTCTTACAAACGTTGAGATTGAGCATTTTTTACGATAATTCAATAATATGTATGATCATATGGTAGATGATAACAGTATAAATGCTAGAAAACAAAAACTAATTTTGACAAATGATTCCATGAATTGTTTAAACTGCAACCCTTAATCAATGGAATTCACTAATATCATCCAAACAGTAATACCTTCTTACTTACTTACGCCTGTTACCCCTCGTCGAGAAGCATAGGCCGCTCACCAGTATTCTCCATCCAACTCTGTGCTGCGCAATCCTTTCCAGTTGTTGTTCATCCTTTTCATATCTGCTTCTATTTTCCGGCGTAATGTGTTCTTTGGCCTTCCTCTTTTCCGCTTCCATTCAGCATTCCAAGTTAGGGATTGGCTTGTAATGCACATTGGTGATTTCCTAATGCATTTCCTATCCACTTCCAACGTCTTTTCCTAATTTTTTCTTCATATTCAAGCTGGCCAAACATTAACAACACGTGGATAATCAATATCATACTTATCTCACAAGTGAAAATCTGTCATAGGCATATTTTTATTTACCACTTAACATTCTGTCTTCAATATTTTGATAATAAAGATTCTTTCCAAAAATCAGTATACAATCAAAGCTGATCAAATTTACTTGATACACCATATGATGATGTTAATATCAAGCTCTTTCAAAAGTTATATCTAGATGACATTAGGAAAAACCAACAGTTGTTTGATAAACGAGAAAAGACATTAGTTGTAGGAAGAAATAGTATATTTGATTATATAAAGAAGTGTAAGAAAGTATGACTGGTTACCTGGTTGTTGAATAAAAGGAGGACAATACTTTATCATCTGTTCTCAGTTTCATTAAAATTTTTTTAAAAATCAGCCAATAGAAACACTGAAGACAATGGGACATATATGTATATGTTGGGGAATTGGCCACCTTGACAGCTTTACTTTCGATTCATTAACTTCTACAGAATTCAAGTTATAAATCTTATAGATTGGTAAATAGTCATTTACACTTACAAACAATATCATAATTTGTAACTGAATGAATATAATTGAGTATAATATACATTGGACCTAATTGATCAATGCTTTGTAATCATTTCGTGCATTGGTTGAAATTAGAGATTAACACAGTCGGATGCCAGGTCAGTGGTCTAGTGGTTAAGCGCTCGCGCGCGAGACTGATAGGTGCCGGATTTGAATCTGATTAGGCGGGATTGTGGATGCACACTACTGAGGAGTCCCACAATAGAACGAAACGGCCATCCAGTTCTTTCAGGTTTTCTGTGGTTGCCTAGCTACAATTGACTCATAAATTTAACTATAAAAATCACTTGTCAATTACCACACGAATTTGTTTGTTAAACTAATAAATTAATCGTAACAACTGCACTATATATGTTTATTTGGAACATTTGCATTAAACTGATTTAAATTACATTTTTACCCTTAAGTACTAGACTTTAACTGTGTAAGGAAAATAAAACGATTACATTCATCGTAGTCTAAAACTTTCACAACTGAATAAACATTAATACATCTACATGTTAAAGCAGCTGTTTAACACTCGCTTGCATTTCTTATACCATAATATTAACCATAGTTTGCTCACTATTGAATAACATCCGTATCAAACAAATTATTATAGATTTTTGTTTTACTTTTCTAGAGATGAAAATCATCTACAATGGAAAACAATCGGTTATGAAACAAGAATAAATGTATTTGTGATCGCTTTAAAAGATTATGATAAAATGTCTGATGATGTAATCAGTCTACGCCAAACTGGTAAGTATAATAGTTATTACTTACTTACGCCTGTTACCCCCGATGGAGCATAGACTGCCGACCAGCATTCTCTAACCCACTCTGTCCTGGACCTCCATTTCAGGTTCTATCCAATGTTGTCTATTCTTCTCATGTCTGTCTCTATTTCTCGGCGTAATGTGTCCTTTGGTCTTCCCCTTCTCCAATGGCCTTCAGGATTCCATGTGAAGGTCTATCTTGTGACGCAGTTGGGTGATTTCCTCAAAGTGCTCAATCCACTTCCAGCCCTTCTTCCTGATTTCTTCCTCCGCTGAAATTTGGTTTATTGTCTTCCACAGTAGGCTGTTACTGATAATGTCTGGCCAGCGGATCCAAAGTATCTTGCGTAGACAACTGTTAATAAACACCTGTATCTTCTGGATGATAGCTTTCGTAGTTCTCCAAGTTTCCATCCCATGAAGTGGAACTGTCTTGACATTCGTATTAAAAATTCTGATCTTGTTGCTGATGATTGTAATTTCTAAACAAGTAACCTATGATTATTTCAATGTGTTGAAGATTAGTTATCGTTGCATAACCTAATTTTACTCATCATCAACATACTTTAAAGTCGGAAATCTGCTAAGTACATCTTAAACAGTTACTATCAGTTCAAGAAATGAGCCATATGTGCGTTCAGTCACTGATAAAAATTACACTTGTTTGTAAAGATCTCAATAAAATATATCATCATAGATTTTGTTTAACATTCTAGACGATCGATTGTGCATACTTTACAATTTATTCTGTGAAACTATATTAAATATCTAACTTTGAGAATACAATTAGACCTGAAGTTTAAACATCATTATAGCATACACTTTTCGTTAGATTTCCCGCTACCGTTACTTTTCATTAAAATGATGAACCGGTAGAATTGAGAACACCATTGAAAACCTAGAAGGATTAAACAGACGTCTCTACCTTGTATGGAACTCCTCAGTAGTGTCTATTCGCAATCCTTCACATGGCAATCAAACCTAGGACCCTCAGGTTTGCTCGAGCGCTTAACCACTAGACCACTAAGCCAGCATCCAACAATGTTTAACTTCAATCAATCCAAGACAATTCGCAACCATTTTTTGTTGTCTTGGGCGGGTAAATACCTCAAATTTTACACAGTTAAATTCCACTCGTCACGGCTTCTCACTGGAACTATGAGATTTACCTGTGGATGCTAGTCATTAGTGAGCGCATGATAATGTGTATTGGACTATGGAGGTAGTTGAGTTTTTATTGACACCATAAACCAACCAATGTTAGTCTACCGATGATAATCTGGAAGATCTGGATTGTCGTTTCGTTTTAGAATAGGATTTCACATCAGTGATCACTAACAACCATGATTTCAATGAAATTAAACAATCTCCACAACTCTATACTTACTATTACTGTTGATGAAGTTCATATATTGATTTCCCATAATTTTTAACTTCGAAACAGACTGTAATGTACACTTCTTATTTAATAAAGACATATGTTGACAATAATACTTCTACAGACATACCAAATCTGAAATTGATGTTTCCAACTTTAAAAATAATAATTCGTATGTTTAACAAAATCTCTTTCAAATCTGTTATGTTCTTTTTGTTTTGTTTTTTCTTCCTGAAAGCTATATGGATTGGTATCATTACTGCAAAATATGATACAGATTTATCAACTGTACGAAAAATTATTACTCAATTGAATAATGATACTACTCAAAATAATTTATATAATGAAAACTATGAAACCATGGAAACTAATCTAAAGTTCCGAGTTCATTTATCTGATTCTTGGGTTTTTATTGATTGTAAGTCATTGATTGTATTATACAATTTCTTTATGTTAATAATGTTTTATTTCATAATTATTGATTGAATATAGAAAATGATCATATTTATCTATCGTTCACAGTTAGTCAATATTGATGGAACATTCACATAATGAACTGATATGATTTGTCCGGTTGTAAATACTAATACATGGGATGTATGATCATCTGAAAATCTTGTGCTTCAATGACATATACACATTTTAAGGTTATAAAACATCGTATAGAGAATAATATCACTAATAGTTGGAATTGTCATCTGTGAAGCACTTTAGTTAACATTATCGGGAATGAAAGTAGGATACTAGGTAAAGGTGGCCATTAACCATCAGTTTAGGCTGGTAGGACATATAATATGAACGAATATTCTTAATGTTGCCCTGTAAGATGGGTAGAGGCTGACAAAAAAAACTTATCAGCCTTCTATTAAATCAGTGGCTATTGGTTTTAGGAATGTTAGCAGACATGAACTATGGTCGTTATCATTTGGCAGGGATAATACCTCTTCTTACTACTAAGAAATTGGAAATAATCTTAATTAGAGCTCGGTGACCGGTTGGCACGATATGTATATATATTAAAAATAAGGGAAACAAGTGTTATTATATCTATGCATAATTATGCTATCTTACTACAACTGAAAAGACAGGCTCTGGTTGGAGTTGCCTGAAAATTTCTTGTGTTGCGGCCTATGTCCTAAGAAGATCAATAGGTGCGATTAAATAGGTGACGTTGTCTAACTATCTGACTGTAATTTACATTTACAAAAGAATATGATCGCGATTAGTTTAATGGGATAGCATCTAGTCAGTAATAAAGGTTTCATAAATAATACACGCATACCATATTCAATAATAATATCATCATAAGAGAATTCCACTTTCTATCATCACCTGTTTATATTCGCTAGATGGTCATAAATTACTTTCAGCAAAGTTGACGACCACAGTTTCAGAATAATCAGAATTGTTCTAGATTCCTGAATCAGAAGTCTTTGAGGTTGCAGTTTATAGAATGTTTGACCAGTGTTGATTTAAATTATGCCAACAATTGTTTTAATTCTCACAACAGATAAAATATGATCAACTTGATAGATAAATGTTATTAGCATGCTCTGTTTCATTCTTGTTTACAAAATATCTGACACAAAAATAAGCACGCTTAGACAAAATCAAACATATTAATGATTAGAGAGGGGTTTAGTGAAGAGTTTAGTATTTTCATAGTTGAAATCATGAGTCAATTGAAGCTAGATTTCAACTATGAAAATACTGAATTCTCCACAAAACCCCTTCTGATCTATAATCCTATCCTCACAAGTGACTGACTTCAAGAGATATTTCCTGGACTTCTAATGGGAAGCAGTGACCAGTGGAGTTCTACCAAGTCTGTTGTAGAGATATCAATTCACTGAAGACAATTGGTGTACAGTTGCTCAAAAACATCGTGAATTGTTTGAAGTTAAACATTAACACCATTGGATGCCGGCCGGCTCAGTGGCCTATCTGTTAAGTGCTCTGGCGCGAGACTGGTTGGTCCTGGGTTCGAATCTAGCGAGTGCGGGATCGTGGATGCGCACTGCTGAAGAGTCCCATAATAGGATGAAACGGCTTCCAGGTTTTCCATGGTGGTCTAACCTCAATTGACTCATGATTTCAACTATGAAAATATTATTGAATAAAATATATAAGTTTCTGTAAGTCAGTCACTAACGAATGATAACAAATATAGTTGTGCATAAATATATCATAGCCAAGTGGTTAAACGCGGTCTACTTCCCACCGACATGCCTAATATCGAATCAAATAAAGTATGGTTTATATTATAATCCTCTTTTCTCTTTCTGATCTTTAATTTACCGGTTATACGGATTCCTTTTTTTCAGACTGCTATAAAAAAATAATTGGCGTTAGGTAAAAAATTGGATAAACTAATTGGACACTGTGCTTTCTACAGATTTCTAAGAATATTTTGAATAGTTGAAACATCATTAAGAATCTTGTATAGTCATAAGTTAGAAGTGCTTTGAAGTAAGTAAAAAGACTAATATTGTAGTGAACAAGAACACTAGTTGGGGACAATCGAATGTATTGAAGCACAAATTACAAACAATCTTACTAAGATCTGATAGTCATACAGTGAGCAGTTAAATTGCGAAACAACAGTCAATTGTCTCAATCTTCACTGTTCCTTCTGTAAATATCAGTTCATTTTCTCTAATTTCATTGTTCATTCATTTTCATACCAATTTCGCTTCATTTCAGTTCTTTCCTTATCGATCATCTGCCAAAATACATTCTATGTCTGACCATCGTCATATACTACTTGTATAGATATAAGTAGACCACATCACAATATTTGAAAAGTAGTATAATATGATATTCATCTTTATCTTATTTTCAATAAAATGACTTCTCTTACTTAAAAAAAGATACTAGCTATAATTTCTTTTGTTTTTCTGATAAATCACTATAGCTACTACTGCAGCCAGTCAATTTTTTCGTATCGATAAAGAACAAGAAAATGTACATTTTCTAACAGATGTTTGTAATATGGAAGATTTATTTCTTATTGATTCTATATTAGAATCACATTTAACATATAATAATCCAACAACTGATTCTTTTATGGATGATAATGTATTACATCCATTAGCGTCTACGTCATTACTACGAGATGGTGATGATAATCAATTAAATCAGTTTGGAGCCAAGGTAAGTTTAACATGCATAATAAGATATGGAATCAAGGATGTTGAACAGAGCGATGAGGATCAGTTAAACAATATAGTACTTCCGATTGATGTAAATTTTTTTTGAATATTTAAACTATCATTTATTTTTAAGCGAAGATGGATAGTTGCTAGCAGTAGAATCCTATTTGGGACTCATCAGCTAGATGTACCTGCATCTCAGAGTTGATATTCAGTCTCGGACTCGAACCCAGTACCTTTCGCTTCAAACGCCGTCGCTTTATCCACTCGGCCACTGAGTCCTGATAGCCACTTGACCAGTTGCAGTCCTAACACATCGATGGAATGATTCAAAGTAACAATACTAAATGAATTTATCATTACTTTTTGTTTATTTGCATCAAGTTATGATTTTCTAGTAAACGAATCAAATGACAGTCTGAAGAGTATGAAAAATTGGCTTATAAGTTTTAGTACATTTTTTTTCTCAATTTTTATCCATATAGCAGAAGAGGAAAGATTTGTGTCAAATAGGTTACTTAAGAGTCCGTTAAATATTTCGGTACCTTAGAATGTAAATTTCGTTCTTTCAGAATAACTCCATCGCTTTAGTGTTTCTTCTACTATAAAGTAGTAAAGTTGATTGATTGCATTTTCTTCTTATCTTAGTAGTACTAACCGAATACTGTTTTGATGTTGCGCGATGGAATGCAGTCGATAGGAAAAGTTGAGCCTGAGTTTTATACCAGATTCACATACGTGAAAGCGATTAGTTGAAAAAAAATACTTTTTATGAAAACATGAGAATATCAGACAGTGAGTTAGTTAGCTAAGCGTTGAAACATACATTGAGGCATAAAATCAGAGAGACATCAATTTAGCAAAACATATCATATTACCCTTTTCTGGTTAGCGTTTTTTTAGCGAGTTGGTTTTCTATGGGATCGGGTCGCTAAGCCTATGCCCAACCCTCCTCCTTTACCCGGGCTTGGGACCGGCAGTAGCCTTCGAAGGAGCTACAGGCAGAGTTAAAATACATTATATTAGTACAGATAATTTGTAAAAATTTTTGAATTTTCTATTTTAAATCAAGAACTTACTTTATTTAGACAACCAGTAAAAACCAGGAGACTCTAGACAGTTGTTTCATCTTAGTCTAGGGCTTCACAGTAGCGCAAATGAGGCCAAAACCTTCAAGTCTTGTAGAGAGCGCTCAATATTTCAACCACTGAATCGGTATTCAGTGGTTCATATTCAATCAGTTAGTGATATTCTGTAAATAGAAACGATGTTTTCCTGGAGATTGTATTTTTAGGAATCGCACAATTGGATATAATAATAACAATAAACAACTATAATATTATTTATTAACAAATTATTGTATTTTCAATGACAACTAATCAACTAACAAGTAATAAATATCCTTTGGATAATTTTAGGCAAGTAATCTGACAGAATCCGATAATCAGAATGAGAACGATGATGATGATGACGACTCCATCGACGACGGTGATAATGATTATGATTGCATGAATAAAACTCAATCAAAAAATCTTATCATTTCTACAAATAATACGTCACTCGAAGGAGAAATCCTTATTCCGTAAGTTACGTTATACAAAATTCATAAAATACTGTGTTCTTTTTTCTCATTTTTAATTAGGTCGATTAATGATTAAGAAAAATTTACGTTTTGTTATTCATAATTTGAAACCAATTCAAACAATATACCAGTAAACAATACCAAGTTTGTTACTAAGATTGCTCAACCAACAACAGGTAGGCAAATTAACATTTTTTGTTGTTGTTGAAAACTTGCTTATCTTTCTTTCTTGTTTGTTACCAGTGAAATACAGGATGCACCTTTGGTCCTATTTAGGACTAGTCAGTTGAATGCACCTGCATCTCAAAGTTAATGTTCACTCTGGGACTTGAACCCAGTACCTTTCACTTCAAACGCCATCGCTTTATCCACTCAGCTACTGAATCCCAGAATGAACATCAACTTTGAGATGCAGGTGCATCCAACTGATGAGTCCCAAATAGGACGAAACACACGTCAAACTGGACTCCACTGCTAGTCACTATCCATATTTGCTCATAATCAGTAAGTCAGTCAGCTACAACGTAGGACCAGGCACATATATGCATCGGTCCAAGTTGCCATACCTCGTGAGCACAACAAGAGGAACACCGGATTCATAGAAGTAATTAATTTAGTGGTGGTAGTAGTATATAAATTATAGGTTGTATATAAGGATATAGTATAGGAAGGAAGAGAGATATGAAGCAATTTTGGTCTCAAGGTTTAAAGGAAGATAAAGAGTGTATACACCTATGCCATTGTGATCGATTCTGAGCCATGTCACAAAGAGTCTCCAACCATTGGTTACGATAGTCACGCGGACCCCAACCAAGTAGTCTGCATCTACCAACATGGCTCAGACTAGAAGTTAGTGACTTCAAACACTGATGCCATGTTTTGGTTTGGCCTCCCCTAACTCTCTTCCAACAATCCCCAATACTAGTCATCATAGCGCGTCGTGGCAATCGGTGTTCAGGTATACGTAACACGTGGCCCAACCATCTCAGTCGATGAAGATTCATGACCTCATCAACTGACTTACCATCATTTCCTAATGCCCTGTGTCTAACCTCACAATTACTTACCCGGTGATCCCAGCAGATGCAAGCAATATTTCTAAGGCATCTGTGGTCAAATACTAGTAACCTACGAGTATCTTCTACTCTTAATGGCCATGTTTCACAGCCGTAAACCAGAACAGAGCGAACTGCTGTGCAGTATACTCGTCCTTTAATTGATAGACGGATATCTCGTCCTCGCCATAGGTGACGTAAGTTGGCAAAAGCCAAACGAGCTTTTTGAATCCGTGCTGAGATTTCGTCACACACCAACACATTTAGGCTGATCAGACTTTCAAGATAAGTGAAGTTGTCGACGCATTTGACTACTTCACTCCCTATCCTTAGTTCGGGTGTTGACGCAGGCCAGTCCAGGAGTAACAATTTACATTTCGATGGGAAGAAACGCATATTTGCTCATAATGCTTGTGAATTAAAGCTATATGAAGGCAATACGCACTGGATGCATATATACCTATAAGAGACTGATCAATTTCAGTCCTTAACATCAATGGAAAAATTCAAACAAACAATACCAAGTGAATTTTTATTCAATTTTTAAAGGAACACAAAGACTTTCTATATTATGATAGACTTGTGAATCCATTAAATTACTATTATTACAATAGTACAAAATTAGTAAATGATACTATTGATAAGAAAATTCTTTTCATTTCTTAATATAAAATTAATGTACAAGACTGTAACTATTCACTATTTATTATAGTTGAAAGCGTGAGTCAATTGAAGCTAGACCACCATCGAAAACCTGAAAGCACTGGACGGCCGTTTCGTTGTAGTATGGGACTCCTTAGCAGTGCTCATCCGCGGTCCGGCACGTGGGATTCAAACCTAAGACTTCCTGCAGCGTGCTCGAATACTTAACCTTTAGATCACTGCTACAAACTCCACAAAGATGAAAATTGTTGATAACACTAATTTACAATCACGATAGTTTGGACTATACATCACTTTCAAACATAAAACTTAAATTGTGAACACAAAAAACACAATCTATACACTATTACAAAGAATCCATTTGCATCCAACTGAAAAGTACTAAACAGAATGAAAAAAGCATTCAAAATTTTACTGAACATCAATAACACGACGCGCTATGATGACTAGTATTGGGGATTGTTGGAAGAGAGTTAGGAGTGGCCAAACCATGATGTAGCATCAGTGTTTGAAGTCACTAACTTCTAGTCTGAGCCATGTTGGTAGATGCAGACTACTTGGTTGGGGTCCACGTGACTATCGTAACCAATGGTTGGAGACTCTTTGTGACATGGCTCAGAATCGATCACAATAGCGTAGGTGTATACACTTTTTGTCTTCCCTTAAACATTGAGATTAAAATAGGTTCATATCTCTCTTCCTTCCTATACTATATCCTTATATACAATCTTTCCTTTATATATTACCACCATTGAGTTAACTACTTCTATGAATCCATTGTTCATCTTGTTGTACTAACAAGGTATGGCAACTTGGACCGATGCATATATGTGCCTGGTCCTACGTTGTAGCTGACTGACTGATTGAAATTACATAATTATCTTTTTCATTATCATTAATTTACATTAAAATTATGTTTAATAGTTAGTAAATTCATTCAAAACTATTGAAACATTGTCTAATCTATTATCAGTTATAATCATTCTACACATAGTTTAATGTTTATTAAATTTTTGTTTTGTTTTTTTAGGAATGATGATATGATCCATTCAACATCATATCTAATTAATGTTTTAAACAAAGAATTCTCAGGAGATAAACAAGAACAAATTGAAACTCAAACAGACAATATAAATAATAATCCAATCAATTTATACCAAGAAAATCGTTTTATTTACACAATCTATGAAATGAATAAATCTGATCATAATACTACTAATAATGATGATGGTAGTAGTAGTAGTAGTAGTAGTAGTAGTAGTAGTATTGCTAGTAGTAGTATTCAAAATACATCAAATACTTTAACAACAAACTATTCCACTATTATTCTTCTTAATGATAATAGTAATAATATCATTATAGATTCATCATTGTTACATAAGAATAGACAACAAAGAGATTTAATGTTTACCACAAATGATTTGATTGAATTAGTCACATCAGATAGTGAAATAATAATGAAACAGAAAACTGAATCTAGAATTCAACAAGACAAAGATAACTTAACTAATGAATCTAGTAATAATACAATAGAAATACAAATTATATCTAGTGATGAAGATCCAATTCATGATGATGGTGATGTTGATGATGATAATGATATAAACGTGACAACACTTATTCAAGGTAATGTTTATCTTTTTGTTATTAGTAATGGAAATAACTAAAATAGTTTACTTGATTTATTTATCAATTTATAGGATTGGGGCCTAACTATTAGATCACCTTATTGATTATCACGTAACCTCCTATATAAAATGCTGTAGGATATTCACATAATAATATTGATGTCGTTTCGATATTAGTTAAGTTATCTTCGACTATCCTATTATCCTAGTAATTTTGTAGGTTTTGAGATTTATAGACACGTTTTGGTACTATGGATTTTGGAGATTTTATGAATTTTGTCAAATAGAGTAAACTATCTTTGACTTTATTGTAGTACTTATGATGTTGAAAAATTAGACACATAAATTTTGTAATATAGACGATTATTTTGTCTTCATTTACACCCTACCAGAAATTCGGTGAAACTTTAACAACCCCTTAACAGTTGTCAGACATAGAAATAAACTTTTGAGTATCATCTTTTTTTTATATACAGTTGAGATCATGAGTCAATTGAAGCTAGACCACCATGGAAAACCTGAAAGCACTGAACGGCCGTTTCGTCCTATTGCTGAAGTTGGATATTAACACCTTTGGATGACGGCTCAGTGGTCTATTGGTTAAGTGCTCTGGAGCGAGAATGATAGGTCCTGGGTTCAAATCTCGTTAGGTGGGATTGTGGATGCGCACAGCTGAGGAGTCCCACAATAGGATGAAACAGCTATCCAGTGCTTCCAGGTTTTTCATGGTTTTCTAGCTTTATTTGACTAATGATCTCAACCACATAAAATTACTAAAATCATCACAAAACCTCCTTCTGATTATCATCTTTTTTGTCACTTCGATAATTCGTTAAATAATCAAATTTATCCAGTGAATTTTTCTTATACTTGTTTATTAATGGATTGCTATAAAGTTGACTAATCACTTTTTCACTTCTTTTAATCAATAATAAATTTATTAGTATAACTTTTGACTATACTAAAGATATGACAATGAAACGAGATTTTTCTACCATAATTTTATGAATTTTCATTAAATGATTTTGTCTATATTGAAAATCTGATTACAACCCGTTCCCTGAAATTAACATCGATTAAATTTATTAGCCGCTATCGTCATCTGTTATAAAGAATGGAATTTGTATGATTGTATAGACGTACAATTGCACACCGCAATAAATGTAAACAATATGGCTGTGGAACATAAACAATGATGATAAGTGTTGAAGACGATTACAAGAAACTTAAGGGCAGCCAAACCAAAACGTGGCATCAGTGCATGAAGTCATTAACTTCTAGTTTAAGCCATGTTGTTAGATGTAGACTACTTGATTGAGGTCCATCTGACTATGGTTGGAGATTGTGTTACATGGCTCAGAATAGATCACAATGGTGTTGATGTATCCACTCTTTGTCTTCCCTTAAACTGTGAGACTGAATTGCTTTATGCCGTTCTTTGTACGAACTAATTCTTTCTTCTTGTACTATATCCTTTTATGCAATCTTTCTTTTATATATTACTACTATATCATTTTCCGTGGTCTTCTGCCATCTTTTTCGATTATAAATCCGGGGTAGCTTACCTTTTGCATACAATACATTTCTCTGCACAGAGTCAAAGTCCATATTCGGCTATTACCGACAACAGCTTTCGGTGTCAAGACGACCCCATTCATATTGCAACAAGTGATGGACACTATGCTACAGGATGTTCCAGGTGCTGCAGCTTATCTGGATGATATAATGATTATGGGAGTAGATAGAATAAACTTAGAAAAGAAGCTCGATCAAGTGTTGTATTTTTTGTATGCAAAAGGTAAGCTACCCCGGATTTATAATCGAAAAACATGACAGAAGACCAGATCCAGAGAATACTCAGCCAATGAAAACTATGCCTAGACCAACGGACGTCCCTACACTACGATCCTTTCTAGGACTAGTTAGTTATTATGGAGCTTTTATTTCTAATCTTTATCACCTGCGTGCCACCTTAAATAACCTTCTGGAGAAGAATGTAAAATGGGATTGGTCTGCAAATTGTCAAGCCGCTTTCGAGAAAATCAAGAAAGTACTAGTCCCGGATCTGTTGCTCACCCTTGACGACCCATCTTTACTCATTGTAGTAGCATCAAATGCTTCAAACCACAGCATTGAAGCAGTTATTTCTCATATCATACCAGACAGATCTGAGAAAGCCATATCGCATGTAACTAGATCATTAACTACAGCAGAACGTAGCTATAGTCAGATCGAGAAAGAAACATTGTCGATTATATTTGCTGTAAAAAAGTTTCACAAGATGATATTTGGACGCCAGTTTACTCTACTTACTGACCATAAACCATTGTTAACCATTTTTGGATAGAACAAAGGTATCCCGGTATACAAAGCAAGCAAACTGCAACGGTGAGGAACTACACTCTTGGGTTACGATTTCAAGATCAAGTACCAGCTCACTACTGATTTTGCACAAGCAGACGATTTGTCTAGACTGATTGGTTCGCGAATAAAACAAGAAGAAGATACCTTGGTGGCAGCAATTGAGACGGAGTCAGAAGTACATCGAGTATTGGAAGACGCAGTCGATGGTTTACCAGTTAATTTCAAATCCATCAAAGAGGCCACGGAAAATGATAAAACATTAAGAGAAGTTAGTGGTTATCTACTCACCAAGTGCACGAACGGTCGTTTTCAAGGAGAGATGTTACAATATTTCCGCCGGCGAGACTCACTCATGATGGTCGATTCATGTATTATGTTAGGTGACAGAACAGTTGTTCCAAAAACATTACGCCACAGGGTTCTGAAACAATTCCACAGCGGCCATCCCGGCATCATTAAGATGAAAGCGTGGGATCGAAGCTATGCTTACTGGCCTACAATGGATCAAGATATCGAAACCAGACGCCGCAATTGTTTGTCGTGCCTGCAAGTAGCTGAACTGTTATGTAGTAGCGAAGACATAAGTACGGGTAACTTGCAGGACCTACTATTGGACTATCATTGTTATTGTATAACTATTCGGTAACTAGATTATATATATATATATATATATATATATATATATATATATATATATATATTCATCTTATTGTAAGCTTCATTTTGACCTATTAATTATTACTATATGATTTACTGTCCCTATGTTATGCTCAGTTTTATTGATTATTGTCTCCCACGCTTACAGCCTCATTTGGGCTCGTTTTGTACAAATATTAATTTCTATTTCATGGTGTGGTGTGGTCAAAAACATAACAAATTGGCGACGGCATAAACGTTCAACAAAGTGTGAACCCCAACAATGGGAAAAACTCAATAGTCCCTGGGAGAGGCTGTACGCAGATTTTGCCGGTCCAATACGAGTGGACGCATTCACAAAATGGCCACAAATCCATGCCATGGCAAATTGCACAACCAGTGAAACGACCAGCAAGTTATCTGAACTTCTGCAACATTAATGGAAGTGTAAATATACGCTCTCCAACCTATCACCCTCAATCGAATGGACAGGCTGAGCGCTTCGTGGACACATTCAAAAGAGCACTACTGAAAGGGGAAGGCGAGGGGACAAGTCAGGTAATTACGAAATTCGTAACAGCTTATAGAACTACGCCTAACCATATCGTCCCAGATGGAAAATCCTCTGCTGAAGCGATGTTCGGAAGAAGCATTTGAACTATATTCCACGCCATGTTGCCACTTAAACCTATGGTTGTTATATAGATTGCTTGAGTGGGTGCCCAGTTGATATATATGAAGTTATAAGACCGCCAATCGGAGGGAAGTGAATTTATCGATCGGATTAATGATACACAAAAGCCGTACATGCAGTCTTGAGTACTTATCAGTCCTGCTTTCTGCCTAGCCCAACCAGTTAATTCCAGAACACCAATAACAGCCCCTGCAATATAATTCATTATTCTCAAACATACTGAGTTTATATACCAAACAAACTGACCACATCGTAATATAAAATAGGAAAAAACATGTGTACGAGATTTAGTCAAATATGGCTGTGAATAGGGGGAACAATAATAAATAGACTGGGTATGACTCAAGAATGGTAAGTTGTATAATAATAGTTTATAGGTCAAAAAGAAGATTATAATAAGAGGGACAAGAATATGGATACTATAGTTACTTAACAATTATATTACAATAGGAAATATACATATCATATTGGTCCATAGATAATTCTCAAAGTTACCATTCATAAATCTCCACGGGATACAACACCTCCCCTTTTTTGAGAGGACCGGAGTTGATATCCGAATTTATCCTCCCCCACGAAAGAGCGTTGGATCCTCATATTCGCAAGTTACGTTTAACGTAATTCTGGTTATAACATTTTTCCTGCATTCAATAGAGAATCCTCTAGGACTGCCTGGATCGTGAGGAATGATATTTGACATGAGGTCAGAGTTTGGTTTATCTAGAATATTGACGTCATATTTATTGAAAAAATCACTAATAAATAGTGAGTCACCATGATAATCAGCGTTCATCAAAACTGCACTAGATTCTTGATTATCATTTGATATATGTGACATATTTTCTAGTAAAACATGAGAATCTGGACAGTTAGATTATCCGGAAATTTCTATTGTAGAGTGCAGCTGCATTCAATCTACTGCTCGATTTTTCTGTTTCTACATGGTCGATTGCTGCAGCAATTTTATGGACGTTTAACAAGTTATTTACTTCCTGTGAACTGGACAATTAATTGTTTGCACGCTCTGTTTCTGGGATAATAGGATTTGAACCAAGTATAGGACACGTCTGTGAAACAGACAGTACTGGACAATTGGGTGATCATATGTGACTGCTTCGTTTAAAATACTGTTTGTCACGGATTCATTGAGACTTACACCATCATATTCATCCATTCTGCAATCAATTTCCAGCTCTGTGTGCAAATTAGAAATTAATTCGTCAACTTCCGTCACACCCCCCCAAAGCATGGGTGTTTCAGCAGCTTTATGTGTAACTTGTCAATACATTTCATCTGACTATTTTTGAAACGCTACTCCTGTCGCTGGAATAGCAACTGTAACTGATCGGAAGTGAGAGTCATATTTTTTACAGTATGACTAATGACCAATGTCCATCAAGGACAGCAGTAACAATTCTAGATGCTGATTGCACGAAATAATTACTTGATTTTCGAACAATTGTAGGCTGACTTTGGTTCGATTTTTTTTACCTCGTCGCTAATTGTTATATCGCTTGACTGAGTGCTCAGTCTAATATATGACGTGATGATCCGCGCCAATCAGAAACTCTACATGTGACTTTCCACTTTCGTGATGTTTCTATGTCAAAACTTCTAGTCAAACGCTGATTGGATAAAATGCTTCTGAATGTTTCCTGAGCTTGTCATGCCTATTGTAAGAAATGTTCAGGATCGCCTCAATAGTTCAGAACACCAATTGCAGCTTCTGTTATACGAATCATTTATTTCAAGCATACTCGGTTTATATATCAGACAGACAGACCACATCACACCATAAAATAGAAAATAATATTTGAACAAGATCAAGCCAAATGTGGTTGTGAATGTGGGAGACAATAATCAATAAACTGAACACAATTTCGGAATAGTAAATCGTACAGTATTAATTTATAGGTCAAAATTAAGCTTATAATAAGATGAATATAGATATATACAATCTAATCACTAAATAGTTGAACAATATAAATGTATATGGAATAATAGTCCATTAATAGGTTCCAGAAGTTAGTCGTACTTATTTCTTCAATAGGATATATCAGATTTTATAGATCATTCATCTGTGAATAGAGTATTGAAATCATTTATTCTTCACCATCAAATCTTTTTTGAATGACAAGAACCTCCTATGATTATTGTAAATTTATCGCTATTTTTTTTTGTTTTTTCATTTTAATAGAAATCAATAATTTATCATTAAAATCTAAAAATTATCATTCTAATCAAAAGTTTGAAAAATTATTGTTACCAAATATATCAAAACAATTACAATATTATCTTAATAAAGGTAAGTAAATATTATAAGGGGTCTTTTTCTTTTTGTTGTTGTTGTGAATATTATAGTTAAGATCATGAATCGATTGAAGGTAAATGTGAATGAGCACTGCTGAAGAGATTTACATTGGGATGAAACGATCATCCTTTGCTTTCAGGTTTTCGAGAATGGTTCAACTTATGATCTGAATTGTTAAAATTAAAATATATAATTGCAATCATTAGTCAATTGAAGCTAGACCACTATGGAAAACCTTAAAGCACTAGACGGCCGTTTCGTACTATTATGGGACTCCTCAGCAGTGAACATTCACGATCCCGCCTCGCGAGATTCAAACCCAGGACCCATCAGTCTCGCGCCAGAGCACTTAACCGATAGACCACTGAGACGGCACCTAACGGTGTTAATATCTAACTTAAACCAATCCACCATGTTTTTGAGCGACCGTTCACCAATTGTCTTCAGTTAGTCGATATCTCTACAACTGGTCACTGCTTCTCACTAGAACTCCTGAATGTAGTTCTCGAAGTCAGTCACTAGTGAGCATATGATTATAGATCAGAAAGGGTTTTGTGGAGATTTCAGTATTTTCATAGTTGAAATCAGTTAAGTGCTCTGGAGCGAGACTGGTAGGTCCTGGGTTCGAATCTCGCGAGGCGAGGTCGTGGATGCGAACCGCTGAGGAGCCCCACAATAAGACGAAACGGCCATCCAGTGCTTCCAGGTTTTCCCTAGTGGTCTAGCTTCAATTGACTCATGATTTCAACTATGAAAATGCTGAAATCTCCACAAAACCGCTTCTAATCTAAAATATATAAATTTATAATTTTATTTTGTTTATATAATACAATTTATTGATTGTAAATAATATAATTTATTTATTTTTTGTATTAATTCTATGAAAGAGAATAAATTAGTCAAGGTCAAGAGATACAACTTCAATGGACTTCATCATTGGTATGATAAAATTTTAAACAAAATCTAACAAAATCATGACATGTTAAGTTCTAATTACTGAAATGTTAAGTCTTCTGCTGAATACTTACCCAACATTACTACCTCTTTCAAATTGAAATGGATAAGCATAGCTTCTTACTGATTGTATTTGCTTTCAATTCATTGTCCTTAGTTTCTTTATATTTCCAATTTATGTTTCAAATATTCAGAAAAATTTTTACTTAAATTATATTCAAAACTCTTCGTTAACCAGTAGAATATTTAAATACTAAATATATCACTGAACAGATAGGTTAAACAATCAGGCAAAGTCCTTGTTATTCATAACTTATTCTAGTAACCTTAGAAGTAAGTATTATCAAAGATAGTGTAGTGAACGAGAATTCAGATGGGGATAACCAATATATCAATTCATACTAAATTTTTAAAAAATATCTTTGTCAAATATGAGAACCATATCTTAAATGCTTCATTCATCAATTGTCCTTTACATTTTGTATAATCCATCCAATTCATAATTCCTTTCTATTTGCCTTTATGTTTTCTTTAATTGGATCTTCTTAGCCTTTGGCTACTATGCATTGCGCTTCTGATTGATGTTACATACTACATATGTCGAAAGACATAAGTAGCATACATCACAATAGTTGTGATACTTTCCATGTACATGGTACATAACTTTATTGATATGCTAAGTTAGTGAGAATTTGACTTATCAGGTTTGATATGACTGGCCAGATAAGTAAAGCAGTAAATTGATTAACTTATTCTAGTCAAATTGTATGTTCATCTTAGCATTGAATCGAACTAATTCTTACTTACGCCTGTTACTCCTCGTGGGGAAGGATAGGCCAGCCACTAGCACTCTCCATTCAACTCTGTCCTGGGAAATCCTTTCCAGTTGTTATCCATCCTTTTCACATCTGTTTCTATTTCCCAACGTAATGTGTTCTTTGACCTTCCGCACTCCCGTTTGCTTTCAGGATTCCAGGTTAGGGCTTGTATCGTGATGCAGTTCGGTGATTTCCTTAATGTATGTCCGATCCACTTCCAACATCTTTTCCTAATTCCCTCTTCAGCTGGAAGCCAGTTTGTCCTCTCCCATAAAACGCTATTGCTGATAGTAACCGGCCAGTGAATGTCAAGTATTTTGTATAGATGAAGATTGACGTAGTTTGTCGTTATTTCTAAAATCATTCACCTCAGAAAAGGCAACTTCTCAATAACCATCCTTCTGAGTTACATTTTGGAAGTTTTGTGTCTTCTCCAGCTAAAAAAAAACCCAATACACCCAACTTCCCTATGATAAGCTCTGCTTACCATGCTTGTGAATTTAGGCTATATCGAGGCAATACTCACAGTATGCATATATGCCAATTAGAGACTGACCAGTTGCAGTCCCAAACATCACTGGAAAGATTCAAACAAACAATACTAAATGAATTTAAACTTCACCCCATCGCACAATCAAGTGGCTATCAGGACTCGGTCGCCGAGAAGATAATAATTATTTTTAACGCGATGGCGTTTGACGCGAAAGGTACTGAGTTCGAGTCCCAGAGTGAACATTAAATCTGAGACGCATGTACATCCAGCTGACGAGTCCCAAATAGGACAAAACGCGCGTCCTGTATTCTACTGCTAGCTACTATCCACCTTTGCTTACCATTCTGTCATTTTGTATTTCATATATCTCTAACACCTCGAGTAACCATATGTAATGTCTCACCATTTGTATTGTAATCGTTCATAAATACTTATTATCTGTCCCATTATGTCATATTCTCCCAGAAATTTGATTCATGAAAGCTCCCCACAATCGAACTGAGTAGTATTTGTATCATTTAATTAAATTAATAGTAAATTTACATTATAAAATATGAATTGTTTTCATTCCATTTTAGCTCTTCTTAGAGCATCACATAATGGTTTAATTGATCTTGTTGAATTATTATTAAATGCTGGTGCAAATATACACGCATTGGATAAATATGGAAGATCATGTTTGCATTTAGCAGCAAAATTTGGGCATGTCAAAGTCATTGAACATCTCTTAAAGTACAGTGAGTTTCATACAAAGAATTAATCTGTCTTTTTTTGTTCGGCTAAAAATTCAGATAATGATAACAGTATTAGTAAGCATGGTAAGCAAAGATGGATAGTTGCTAGTAGTGGAATAAAGGACGCGCGTTTCGTCCGTATTTGGGACTCGTCAGCTGGATGTACCTGCATCTCAGAGTTGATGTTCACTCTGAGACTCGAACCCAGTATTAGTAAGCGTTTAAGTTATCCTCTTTTGTCAGAAACATTATACCTGGAGAACAAGTCAGATGATAACTGTACTTGGTAGATTAATAGGTAAAGTTTTGTGCTTGAAGTTATAGGTAATAGGTTCGAAATCCCGTGTAAATATAAATACTGGAATGACGGTATATCTGACCGATGAATGCCAAATGCGACAAAACTTACGTCCTAGAATCCGATACTAGCCAAATTCCATTTATTATAAAGCTAATAATATTTGGAAAGTACTGATCACTTTAACTGCTGGAATTAGTTTTATAAAAATATTTTAGATTGTGTTTTCATATAACTTTCATCGTGAACTAAAGCTTATTAGGAAAATCAATGAGACCGTTTAACGCACAACATCTGTTTCGATCTAACATTAGGACTCTTTAGCGGTGTGTTTGTCCAAGATCACACAGACAAATGGATTTGAACTCGTGTTTTTTTTATGTAAGCACGACAATTTTGCTACACCGTAGTCAGAATAATATCGCTTGGTTTTTAGACTTTTGTGCTTGATAAGGGTTGAGTGTACACATAAATATTCTATTTTCTAGTTTTATTGGTTTTCTAAATGACTTCAGTGGATCGTGGAAATCCAACTTTCAAAACTAAGATAATTACCAAAATTCCTTTCACTCAAAAAATTATATCTAATTATGTATTTTACCGATTAGATTAGTATTTCTAAAAACGTGATGGTAAGATAATTGGTTAGTGGAATAGATAATGTGTGGTAATCCACACATGGTTGAGTAACATATAAAAACAAATATATTTCTAATAAATCGACTTCTAATGTTACCTTATGTATCATCAAAAGGTCTAGCAATATCATCTTAATAACTAGACTATTTGTTACATAATCTATAAATACAGAACATTAACTGGCACCATAAGAATTTATGGAGTGAACTGTTAAGTAAATTTGCCTAAATGTCATGGTGATACGATTTGACTAGGCATTTTTATGTTTAGTATAAGTTAAGCAAGAACTGTAGACAATATTTTATTAACTTATTTATTTGTTTAAACACACAAATATTGGTACAAAGGGACATCAAAATAAAATTGCATCACATAATATGAAAAGATTGCGGAGGAGGAAAGTGAGGATATTCATCAAAAGAAGTGGCAAGAGAATAGAAATAGAAGTAAAAAGCAATAGTTCAATTAGAAAAAATACAACCAGAAAGAACTCTTTCAGTCAAAAAGTTCTTTCTCACTTTTATAAAGTGAAAGAAACAGCAGGATCGCCAATGCTTTCTATTTTGGGACATGTCTGACGACATCCCAAGCTACTGTGTTGCGTCATCCTTCGGACTCCAACCAAGGAGTCACAATAGTCTAACGGAAGCCAGTCCTGTACAGCTGTCTTTCATAGGATGACACCGTGTCATACACTGACCACCTCTCCGCTTTTTCCAAACAGTCTCAGCGTCCACGATGTGGAATTCCCTGGGACGAATTTTACAGTACAGGTTTGGGTCACTCAAGTTGGTGTTTCAAGATGACACCAGTTGAATTATGAACATGTTTGCAAATAATCCATGATGTGAATGGTAACAAAAGAATTAAATGATAATTTAGGAACTTTATTTTCAGTGAACATAGCTTAAATAGTGAGGGTATTGGATATATATACATCTTTTGAAGAGCTGATCATTTAATATCAATTTTAAATTGATTAGAATCCATTACAACGAGATCATAAAACTTAAAACGATATCCTTGAAATCTCTTCTTGCAGAGATGTTCACCTCCACATCGAAGTAGCACATTTATTCTGAAGTGAGCAGAACCGAACCTGTTAGTGAGCACCTTTAGAGTTTCAAAGTGCCACATATCTACTATCTTGCAAAGAAGTTCTTTTAGTTTTGATTTAATTTCCACTAAATTCCAATTGAGACTAGTCTCAAATCTGTTTATTGAAGAATTACTTGTTTCCTTAATGACACAAAAAAGTAGAGGAAGTCAGTAACTGAACCTAGGTTAATCTTGGAAGAAGTAAAATATGAATATCGCCCCAACTACCAAACGCTTGATCCATGAACAATAATCATCACCTCTTGGTGAGTTTTACCGTTTGAGCTGAGTGGTTAAATCGTGGAGCTTTCGTCACCCCTCTGGATAACCTCATCAGCACAAACTTCAGGGACGAGTTATCCGGGTTTTTTACGTGACTGAGAGCGACTTTTGTTAACCTTGGTCTTGATTGGCTGTTACTGACCTTTGTCCTTTTATTGTTCCGATATTTATTTTGGTTGTCCATAATTTTTCGAACCGGCTGATATAATGGATCGATTTCAATGCTTATTGCTAACGAGACATAGATTGAATTAAAGCATGTTCCGTGCATGATTGGGTTGGCGCACGCTGGTTGACTAATCCTTATCCAATCACCGCTAGTCGATGTTTGGAGAAGACTCTAGAATCTTCTCATGTAAAAACTATAAATATACTGACATATTTCTTATTGAGCTTCTTTCCTCCATCTATTCTTGTTATTCGGATTATAATTTCTTGCCCTGTTCAATCGTGTTCTGATCTGGGACTTGTCGAGTGTATTGGTGTCCAAGAATACTAAGCAATAGGAAACAGCTGGGCCGTAATAAGGAGAAATTATATATAAACAGTTATGACTTATTGACAGCTAACTGACTTGAGTTCCAAAACCTTGCAATTCCCTTATCATTCACTCTGTCCAATATTTTGACATTTTCTCAGCCGAACAAGTACATAATCGTCCATGTGCATTGACATGAACGATGGCAAATCGTGCCGCTTGATAGCTAGTTAGTATTCATGCTAACGAAGATGGTAGCGACAACTACTTTAACCAATATAGTTAATTTACTTTAATATTTTGTAATAATGTGAAGGCTATTAATTGTCACCATTTATGTCTATATTTAAGACTAATGACTAAACCAAACACTTTTACCTTAAGTTCGAGCAGACGATGTTGTTCAGAGGTACAATGAAAGCTCCATGATTAAGCTATCCAGCTCAAAGGATGAGGCTCTAATCCATAAATAAATATCTAGTTTCCACTTATATTCCATTGATCCAAGTAATAAATACTTCGTTCAAAAGTTTACAATTCATTTAGATTTACATTTATAGATGATTAAATGTTAACACAATAATTGCAAAATTTTATTCCAGTTCCAGAAAAACTGATTGACTTACAAGAATATGAAAAGTAAGTAACAGCCTTTTCCATCGTTTAATATTTATATATTTTAATAAACATAAATAGACTCATTAACTAGGTATTTGGTTATGCCGAAAAGGGAAGTGTGCAGAGCAGGCTTCAAACCAACGACTTAATGAACGAATCAACAAAATCTAGCAACAACAACCATAGACAGGGGAATATACATCCTCCCAGGATAACATATTAACTATTCATCTAGCATGTAGACATGAATGTCCGGAGAAATACTTAGTTATTTAATTTTTGTACATAAACTGTATTCAAACTATCCAAACTTTGTTATATGATTACGAAATCCATAAATAGCAAACACGCATAACTTATTCAAAATCAGTTGATACCGAAGATAAATCTCAATAACATGGTGCTCAGTCTAAATTACTTGAGGTAATTAACAGTTGGAATGATAGGATAAGAAAACCACGCGAACCGTGAGAACAAAGATAAACATAAATGTTAAAGGAAAATCGGAGGGCTTCTTGAAAATATATAGCTAGCACTGACCAAAGTAGGAATAGCATAGAAATAGTATCGACTCAGCAGTTTGCTTAACATATCAGCCAGAAAGTCTGTCCGTCTGACAAAGTATTTCAGAAATATAACTTAAAACGACAGTTTAGGGAAACTGGTTCACTTTCAAAATTGTGAGATAGATCATACTCTGAAACAGCTTAGTGTAAAAATAAGACGCTACCTTTTAACATGCAACTAATCAAGCACGTATGCTAATTCTATATGTTTGTTTTGTCTTTTTCTCTCAGGAACCAAACAGCACTACATAAAGCCGCGGCAAGTCGAAGGAGGGTCGTTTGCAAAATTCTAATCACAGCTGGAGCTTGCCCAACAATTACTGATATCTACGGGAAACAACCAAGTAATTTGGCACTAAAAGCAAATGACCCACAACTTGCTACTTACCTAAAAAGTAGGTCCATTACAATTATACAGACGTCGATAGCAAAATATAAATTTTCTGTCAATAATAGAGTCTCTGTTATTTCTTTTCTAGGAGAAGAAATATTCTTCATTATTACAAATGGAGTTGAGAAAGTAGATGTATAAAGTGGACAAATGAAGTAATCTTCCAACACATTCCAAACAATTAACTAACAGTTGAATATTTCCCATCTCTAGAATAGAACTTTTGCACAATTTAGTATAAACTATTATTTATTTGTCTAACAGTATCTCCATGGAATCTCTTAACAGGAGAAACTTTTGTATTACAACATAATTACGAATATATTATCAATAGAAATACTGTGCTTTTAATCTGAATAAAATTTACGATATCCGCGTCAGACTTAGCAAGGAACCATCACAATCATGTTTTAAACAACTGAGCAAATGACACTTGTTAATAACAGATGCTTAAATACAATGAAAAACATAGCTGACCTTTTACAGAAAAAAAAACATAAATAAGGGTTATCACTTCATCCTTCTTTTAAAGAACAATCCCGTACCTTTATTATCCTCCAAGCCTAATAGTAAAATCCTAATAGATTTAACTAACATTTAGTCCTGTTAAATAAATGATTCACGTTACCTGATTGCTGTGTCAGTCACGAAATCCGGTTAGTGAAAAGGAGGGAAGTGACACACAGCAGAGGATTTTATCAGAAATATGAACGCCAAAAATGCTTAGAAAAGTATATTGAAACAAGTAAATGCTTTTACAAAACTTCTCAGAGATGATAAGTGGTTATCTAGGATAGATACCATGAGTCAGATTGCATCTCAACGATATCCAGGAGGCGGTGGAGGTGGAGGAGGAGGATACCCTCGTACAGCGGTGACAGGTGGCATCCCACGACCGAACGCCGCAGTTGGTGCACCTGCCGGGGGAGGAGGTGGAGGTGGCATGCCAGGAAGTGCTCGTGGTTGCATCAGACCCGGTGCTGGTGCTCCGACTCCCCAAACTGGACCACCTAAACCAGCAGGTGGAGCTGGGGCAATTGCTGCTGCTGGGGTCGCAAGGGGCATACCGCGTCCAACAGCAATACCAGTCAATGGCTTAACTCCAGTTGACCAAGCGCCTGCTGTAGGGAGCGGAACTCGGGCAGCATCTTCAGGCGGTGGAGGACCATCTACATTCATAGTAACCTAAAAAAAATAATCGAATTTAAAGATAAATTTAGGGGGGCCCAAGAAGTACAAAAGCATTGTGAATAATATAAAACAACCCACTTTTAAGGATTTGAGTTTTGGATCACTTTGAAAGACTATATGTGAACGATAGATTAGTAGCAATCAAATAGATTATCAAGTGACAACTAAGCATCAGTACCAAAAAAGCAATATTTACAAACAGATCGTGACGAGAAAACCAATACTTAACCGCCAACACATGGTTCGTTATTTTATTACACAATTGAACGAGATAAGGATGAATATTTGGGACAGTGGATTAGATAATTATAAGAAATGTGTTATAAACATGATTATTTTACAAATACAAATAAACGTTTTAAAGTGAAAACTAGAGTAGTAAAAATATGAACAGCATCAATGGATGATATATCCGACGATATCAATTTATGCTTAAAGTTGGTTTGATAGAAATAAACAGTTTCCTGAACATTGCAACAGCAGACAGTCTCATTCATTTTTAATAAACTGTGATATAAGAGTCAGTCAGTCAGCTACAACGTAGGATCAGGCACATATATGCATCGGTCCAAGTTGCCATACCTCACTCATTAGCAAAACAAGATGAACACCGAATTCATAGTAGTTAATTCAATGGCAGTAATATATAAAAGAAAAATTGCACATAGGGATATAGTACATGAAGAAAGAACTAGTTGGTAGAAAGATATAAATCAATTTTAATCTCGTGGTTTAAGGGAAGACAAAAAGCGTATACACCTACACCATTGCGGTCGATTCTGAGCTATCACCCAGTCAGTCTCCAACCATTGGTTACGATAGTCGCGCTGACCCCAACCAAGTAGTCTGCAACCACCAACATGGCTCAGACTAGAAGTTGATGACTTCAAGCACTGATGCTACATTTTGGTTTGGCAACTCCTAACTCTCTTTCAACCATCCTCAACACTAGTCAGCATTGCACGTCGTGGTAGTCGGTGTTCAGGCGTACGTAACATGTGGCACAACCATCCTAGTTGATGAGTTTTTACAACCTCATCTACTGATTTACTATCATTCCCTAATACCCTGCGTCTAACCTCACTATTACTTACCCGGTTATCCCAGCAGATGCGAGAAATATTTCTAAGGCATCTGTGGTCAAATACTAGTAACCTACGAGTATCTTCTACTCTTAATGGCCATGTTACGCAGCCGTAAAGTAGAACAGAACGAACTGCTGCTCAGTATACTCGTCCCTTAATTGATAGACGGATATCTCTTCGCCATAGGTGACGTAAGTTGGCAAAAGCCAAACGAGCTTTTTGAATCCGTGCTGAGATTTCGTCACACACCAACCCATTAGGGCTGATCAGACTTCCAAGATAAGTGAAGTTGTCGACGTATTTGTCTACTTCACTCCCTATCCTTAGTTCAGGTGTTGACGCAGGTCAGTCCTGGAGTAACACTTTACATTTAGATGGGGAGAAACGCATCCCAAACGTCCTTGCATTGTTACACAGTGTTACCAAAAGACTCAGCATTTTCGCCAAACAGGACTATGTTATCTGTGTATTCTAAGTCGATAAGTGGACCTCCTGGTATGAGATCAATTTCTGAAAATTCAGTTGACGAGTGTTATTTCCAGCAATAGGTCTATAATGAAGTTAAACAAAAATGGGGATAGTGGACAGCCTTGTCGGACACCACTTGAGATTGTAAAATCAAACAAAAGTTCGCCATAAGCTCTCACTCGACTGATAGCGTTCGAGTAAAGAGCCCTCACAAGGTTTATGTACTTCTCAGGTACACCTTTCAATGACAGACACTACCACAGAGCCTCTCAGCATACAGAGTTAAATGCTGCATTTAATTCAAGAAAAATTGCCATTGTCTGACACCGATAAGCATCCCTGTGTTGTAAAATCTGATAAATAGTAAATATGTGGTTAATATAGCCACGACCATGTTTGAAGCCAGCCTAATTTCTTCATGTTTGCAGTTCACGAGTTTTGTTAGTCGTCCGATAATTATTGAGGCTAATATTTTAGATGCTATATTAGTCAAACTAATTTCTTTATGGTTGTAAAAGGATGATTTCGACCCCTTCTGATATACTGGGACAATCAATGATTGCGACCAGTCAAATGGGGTTACGTTCAACTCCAAGATTTTAGCTAAAATATTAGTCAACCTAATCGTTAAATTTGGACCACCGTCCTTAAAGACATCTGGAGCCAATCCATCTGGACTAGCTACTCTTTTTCGTTTCAGATTAGCTATAGCCTTTTGAACTTCAACTAGAGTCGGGGGACCTACTTTAATGTTCCATTCAGACTGGGAACGATGGGTAACTGTAGAGTAGTTGAAAGCCAACTAAACTGTTCTCCAAAGTGTTCCGCTCATCGTTCTAAACGTCTGGGCTGAGAGCAGATAAAAATGCCATCTTTTTCTGAGATTGTCTCACTTACATTTCACTTCTCAATTCCGGTCTCTTTTATTAGTCTGAAAAGCTATCTGGTGTTACCTGCAACCAATGTCTTTTCCATCTTTTATGATTTCGTTGCCAACCACCGCTAACAATCGTTCCGTAGACTTTTAGTTAACCTAGATCTGATTTGCTTTCACTCTTCATGTTCAGAGCCTGATGGGATGAGTTTACGAGAATCCATCAGTGCAATAGACTTAGAAGAAATCCACTGGTTTTTGTAACACTTTGGTTTAAATTACTATTAGATGTTGCTGCAGTTTCCACAGCTGTTCGTATATCTTTCCAAGCAGCATCTGGGTCAGCCTCGTTTACAGAACTGCCTGGATGTGAACTTACTTTTGGTTTTCTCGTCCCTCAGTTTAATTTTAATGGGTCCTCTTAGTGTGATTTTTCTGCGTCCAGTGAGGCGCAAGCAAATGCGTGCTCGTATTAGAGCATGATCAGAGTCTTAATACGTATTGCAGAACGAGCGACAGTCTTCTGTCAAGCCTTCCCAACGATGATTGATGGCAATATGGTCTATTTGACTCCATCGTTGGTTTGGGGCAGAGTTACCATGTTAGACGATGTCTCTCCTTATGCTTGTTGAGAATAAACGATTGTCTGAGCACAGTTTCACCATTATCTGTTCACTCAGCCGGGATATTAAAATACCCACCTAAATGTCTTTCTGTTTGGTTTAAGCTACTTAATTGGGCATTAAACTCACCTGTAACGAGTACTATGTCTGAGCGTTTAGCTTTTTGAAGTTGAGAAAGATTTTTGTAAAAGTCATCTTTCACTTCATCCGCGCTGCAGTCAGTGGGAGCGTAGACAGAAACGACGAAAAGGCAACGACGTGTGGTCCTATTCTTCCGAGTTCTTACGGAGCCATTTAGTCGAACAGCACATAGGCGACTGTTAAAGGGGATCAACTCTATTAGTGCTTGTTCTGCTCTCGTACTTAGTTCTATGCCTACACCAGATACACGGAGGGTGTATCTTGTCGGCTCTCCGTTTTGGTGAGGTGAGGTCAAAGGAATGACTACACTAGGATCCTGTATGCGTGTTTCTGAGACACAGCGTACATCAGTGGTACGAGACTCTAGGGTTTTAGCCAAGGAGGCCTGCTGGCCGATTTGACATAGGGTGCATAGGTTGAAGGCTCCAATGTGTAGTTTGGAGAGAGGTTTCAGTAGACCCAGAAGTGTTTTGCACTCTAGAATCGTTGGCTATGGTGACACTTAAGGAGGAAGTTTAGTGTTGCAAGTCGATGTAGGAGGAATAATAGGAATTGAAAAGGAGGACTGATTATGAATACAATGGTCTTAAGTGCTGTTAAAGGCATGATGGCGGTTTTCACTTCCCGGTTGCCCACACCGTGGAAGGGTTCTTCTGGAGGTACCTAAAGATGAAATTGGATTACGGGTTATCTTAGTGACTTGAGAGCGTCATCGCAGTGCCCAAAGGACAGCTGCCTAAGGTCGGTTACACACGACTTTTTTGTAAGTAATTTTTGTGTTAGCTCCGTACTTGTTGGGACCTTACCACCGGAGACGGATATCCGTGGGATAAGTCGAGATGTGCACTTTTAGGGTCGACCTATTCTAAATCCATCCCTCCCTGTGGGGAGGCACCATCGCTGTTATGCTGGCTATCAGAAGGAAACACCTTAATGCCATCACACTTATGTA